ACTGATGTCGCCTTTTCCCAAGAATCGTAAACTCTACAGGATTGCTCAATCCCATAAGACATACGTTCATAAAAACATCGAAGATGGAGGAATGTGAATGACGTTACGCAGTCCTTGCATTTTCAAACGTGAAAAATTTTTATTTTGAGGTTATTTCCTTTGAAAACTGTGTTTTTTTAGTAGATTATACCACGAGTCAATAAGGATAGCTATTAATCCCGAGGAATATTTACGAACTGAGCCGCATTAGTGGCGAGGGAGTAACATTCCGAGGGAATAATAGCCATTATTGCGAGTAGTATACTCTACTTTATTTACGACAAATTAATTTACCTCAGATTTTCAATGAACAAATTTCATCCATCTCAATTCTCAATACAAATCCACAAGCACCATACACGTGTGACACTGACATTTTTGAGGAATAATAACCATTGATCCCGCTACTGGTAATTATTCCCTGGCGGAATAACATATATAATTATACTGCCAAAATTACAAGTATAATACTATTATACATTAGTCGTGAATAAAATTTATTTATTAATTTTAAAATTAGCAGACTTCAAAAGTTTGTGTGCTTGAGGCTTGAGTGGTTGGCTAATAAGGAAGACGAGTTTGTTTGCTTCTGCTTATCAGCAAGGTAATTTCAAACCTAGAAGACCACCACATATTGCCAAAAAGTAAAAAAAAGACAGGGGCTGGAGTCAAGCTGGCCTCCGGATTTGTTTGTGTATGGAAATGAGCACAATTCGCATAAATACCGGCACAATTGAGCACAAAACGGGCACAATTGACTACAGTTGAGAAACAGTAGAAAACCAAATGTAGGGTGCCAACTTGAACGAGCCGGTTTGAAACGTGGTTGCAATAGTGTGTTTTATTTTTTACTGACCCTACCTACTTCTCAATTATTATTCAATAGGTACTAAAACGATTTAATATGGACTTTCAAAGTAAGCTTATTTCACAATAAGGCCAAATAGTGATACCTTATTTAGATTTTCATAATCATATTCCAGGAAAACACTGCAAATTTCCCATATTTTCCATGCGTTTTCATAGTAAACGCGCCAGTAATGGAATTTATTTACATATTTATTTATTCACTCTTCATAAACACTAATTTTTAGTAATTACATGCAAAGGAAACTTACAACTAAGTAGACATTTTATTTACAAAAAAAAACAATACAAATGCTTGACTAGAAAATACTTACTAACAGTAGAAAACTACGCAATACACACGAATAAAAGAAAGCGATGTCCTGATAAAACAAATCCAGTATTACAAAACCACTAAAATCAGAAAATGTTTGGGGTTTCCGCGATTATTTTTAGCCATGAGTCTTTTATGCTTACACACATTAAATGGAACTTTAAATTACACTTATAACACTTGATAAATTTCGAATTCACGATAAAATAATTGTCAGCACAAACTCAACTATCATTCGTATCGGCGGCCATCTTGAAAATCAGGAATGCACGTGACGTCACAGCAATTGTGAACAAATTTAGCCGATTGAGCAATCCTGTAGAGTTTACGAATCTTGACCTTTTCCATTATCATCATCATTATTGCCGTCATCCAAATCTGATAAATGGCTAAAATCTTCGTTTTTATTAATTTCTTCTTCACTTTCATCCTCATCAGGAAACCCTATATGTGTGATAGGCATTGAAAAGAAATTATAACTTGTATGTGAGATTTCAAACATTTGTACATAAGCGCAGTAATTTTGCCTTTTGATAGGTATTCAGTTGTTTTGATAGTAACTCTACTCAATTAAGTTGGCAGACAAACGGGAGGAAATTGCAATTTAACAACCATATGTGCAACTTATGTAACTTATTGCGGTTTCTGCCATATTGAAAATATGCATATTCTCATAACTACATTTCACTTAACCAAATGGCAGACGGGTTAAAAACGTTCATCATATAAACAATTTTTGTCGCAATTTTGTTCATTGTTTATTAGGACTTGTACCAGTCTGCAATTTCTGCCAGTCAAAACTTAAGCTTTTGGTAGCAACTTATTCAATATAAATTAATGGCAGACGGGAAATAATTGATCTCAAATTTGAAAAATTTTGACATTTTGAAAAATTAAAAATAAATATCTGTACCACTTCCATTTTTCTGCCGGTGCAAAGGTACATGATTTATCTAAAATCCATTGTAACAAAACATGTTTTAGGCGGGAGAAAATTGTTTCAACATCTCAGCATTTTGATACAACTTCAAAAATTGTTAAATATTATTATACCAACCGAGATTTTCTGCCATTTCCTTATTGATCTCTAACTCGTAAATGCAACATAAATTTAATTTGGCAGACGGGAGGTCGTTGATCCACATGTCCGATTTTGGCGACATTTTGAAATTAGTTATATGATGTTTTATACTAACCTAGGGTTTCTGCCGTTTAGCTTCCTTCTACTAATTTTTGTTTAAATTCCCTTCACAATGTGTGGCAGACGGGATAATATTGATCCAAATCTCCACTTTTCATTACATTTTCAAATTAGCATATCATTGTATTGTCACACTGGGGGCTCTTTGAAATTTCAGCCATTCCACTTCTTATTGCCTAAAGAATAACCACCCTTAATGGCAGACGGGAGAAAATCGTTTCAAAAAAATGGTCGTTATGCACCGGTCTATTATTAACCAAAAGTTAAGGTCTCATTTGCCAATTTTGTCAAGCATACTAAATAAAACAGTTAATACTAAAAATATACGAGATCAAGAGAATTTAGCAAAGGAGACATTAGCTAAGCTGATAAAAGACATCAAACAAGAGAATTGTTTAAGCTTTCTATAAGGGGACAGTGGTTGGGTTAGTTAGGTAAATGATCTAAGAGAATATGGCATATAGTTGTAGCTGTTTTAGATAAACCACGATCTTATCTAAGAGAAACGAATTATAGAAAATATCGAAGAAACAGGTGGCACTTGATTCCAGAAGCATTATATATCGCAGTGACCACAATCACCTCCATCATCAACGACAGGAACCAATAGTAGTATTGTTGATAATGATACAAATGACGATGAAATCGAGAAACTTAGGTTAAGCGATAGTTTAGGCAAAGACAATACTACTACTAGTATTGTCTTTGGTTTAGGTAACTAATAATGATAATACTAATCAACAAAATCAGTGAAATAAGTGAACGTGTGCCTATTAAAGACATTTCAGCCAGTGGCGTATTTACGTTTTTCATCTGGGGGGGGGGGGGGGCCAACGTAACAATAAAAACAAATAAAATTAATTATCTTTCTTTAGCGGGGGTCTAGGTTCCTAAAAATAATAGGTTGTCTGGCAATGGGTAATTTGATGACGCATCTAGGGTGCCTTATGGAGATTTGCATTATGTTGAGGCACCCCAGGTGACGTCATCGAGTTATCCAGGCAACCCAAGGATGATACACATAACTACTACAGGATAGTCTATCCTCATAAAGCCCGTGTGGAACCCCCTGAGCCCCCCCCCCGTAAATACGCCACTGATTTCAGCTAATAGCTCATTTAGTCAACCTTCTGTGAATAGAAGACCTTCTAAGGATATTAAATAACCCTATTATCTTAAGGACTATATTTCTTTCCTAGGTGTAGTATTAGAATAGTTATTCTTATTATCATTGTTACCATTTAGTTTATTTGTTAGGTATCTTAAGAAGAGAGAGATGTTCTGTTAGTTAACTTTTATATTATTACCTGCCAGGTATAAGGGGGACAGAAAATGTCATGAGCTTTAAAGGGGATCTTTCTATTAATAATTATTGTCAATTATTGTCACTTATCGCAATAAAGTTTCAAGAGTTTTATGAAGTTTACTTGAGGAGACCTACGCAAGAACATAATACAGCAGCCGCAAAAGCACCAGTTCCCCTAGTGGACAGCGGAATTGAGGCAACTGAGGATCAAGCAAACTTTGATCAAGCTAAGGATAATCCTTTCGAGGGACTCGACCGTCCCTGGAGGGAAAAAGTGGAATGGTCTTAGGAATGGTCAGTGAAAACCTTCCACCCCTACAAGTCCGCAGTACCGGATGGGATAATGCCAGTACGAAAATCCATGAAAAGCATGCTAGAACCAATGCTAAAAATATTTGCTGATTGCTTAGAGCATACGCCAGCAAGATGGAGGAAAGTGAAGGTCGTCTTTATATCCAAGGCGGCATCTCAACCCCAAATGACTTTAGACCAATTAATTTATCGTCATTCTTGTTAAAGACTCTGGAGAAGCTGATTGATCTACACACTAGAGCATTAACCTGGGATAAATATGCAAGCCCAGACCAACATGCTAAAAGGAAGTTGAAAGTGCACTGCATGAAAAAGTTGGGAAAATTGAAAGATCTCTTGAAAATAAGGAATACTCACTAGGTGCATTTCTAAACATAGCGGGTTCATGCAATAATGTAATGATTGAGTTCATTAAAAAATCCATGGAGAACCTAAAGGTAGTAAGTACCAGTCATCATACAATAGATAATAAAAATGCTGAAAAGCAGAATCGTTAGGTAATTCAGAAATGGGTGACTATACCATAAGGAAAAGAGCTACCAGAGGGACTCCATAAGGAGGAGTGATATCTCCACTCTTGTAGTTGTTGGTAATCAATGTAGTTTTATAAACCTTTAGAGAAAGGAGGGAGAATAAAATTGATTGTCTAGGGCAATCTTTTAAAACCTAACCTAAAGGGCCACGATGGTTTTCTACCACACACTTCGGTTTTGAAACGACGTGTTTCATCGCAGCGATGAAAACCGTCGTGTTTCATCGTAGTGTGTGGGGCCCTTAACTTATAAAAAGCACAACTGCAATCAATAGGTAAGTATTCATCTGAAAATTTAGTATCGTGGAATGTAGTTTCAACAAAGGACTACAAATCCTGTAAATTTCAGTTTATGTGAAATTATTAATAATTTCAGAGATAAAAATTATTCATTCTTTTTTGTCATTACAAAATCCATGAAAATACTTACATAAAAATACAGACTAACTTCCTCTCTCTCCTTATATTGACAAGCGGTGTCGTATTTGCAACACCCTGTATCTTCAGCGCACCGATGCAAAACCGTACAGTGCGGTATGTAAGTGACTGAAGGATTAGGGTGTTCCGAGTGCACTGCGATCACTTTAGGACTTGGATTTTTGCATTCACCCGAACTTTTCACACGGAAATAGTGTTGCACTGCTGCATCTCTGCTTCGCTCTAAAAACAGAAAAAAAAATTACTTAGCTAAGAAAAATTAAGTCAATATATTATCATAAAGTGCTTCACTTTGTGGTTCTCTTTCAATTCTTTTTTGATGCTTTATGAGCGCGTGAAGCTATTAAGCGGTTTTATGGACAGCTTTGCAATCGTTTTGCTTAATTGAATTATTATGGGTGGTACACGAACTTCCTAGAATTAGTCATAACCCGTCCAGCTATATAGAGAGAGGTTTGTTCGTTTTATTGTCTAACACTAATTTATATTTGTAAATTATTCATATTCTGTGAATATACATAAAATTACAAGTTTGATGAACCACAAAAGTGCCATTCCAAATAACTCGAACAAGAAAATTCCTGTACCTTCTGGAGATTTCCTATTTTCTTGCTGCTTATAATATTTATTTCTATACTGATCCACTCGTTCCATTGTTCCAAGCATGTTCCACTTGTAGTCTGTCAAACTTGCATAACTGGGTTCTATAAGAAAAATTCCTATTAAGTCAAATGCTATTTTTCTAGGCAAACATTTACCTTTTGTAGTTGTAGCTGTTGGTTCTTCAGCTTGGACGCTATCCTTCATTTCATCATAATCTGAGCTATTGATGAAGATGTCTGGATAGTCGTCTTCCTGAAACAAGGAATAGATTAGGAAATTTGAATGATTTATGAATCCTAATTATTTTTGACAATAACGAGAAGTAATAAACCTACTTTAAGTGAAACTTTCACTAATTAGTAGACGAAAAGTGATAAAAATCTCAGTTAGTCGACTATAATAAATCAAAAATAAACCAAATGTTATGACATCACATCAGCCTGTTGCATCAAGTGGCACGAGACATTTTCAAGATTTAATGTCTATTATTAGAAGCTTTTAACAAAATTGCTGCAACAGAAAAAGTCAGGAAAAAAGTCAATAGTGACATCATCTCCATCTCCACCCCAGGTCAAAGACCATGAGCTCTCTTATGCCCAGTTTACGACCTAATTAGTTTATTTGTCAGACGGACTTTACCAGGAACGAGCTGCATTCCTTGCGAGTGCCACACCAATGAGGTCATTTGCATATTAAGTCAAAAGAATTTATTATTATGATTTTGTTTTTGACGAACGAGTCATTAAATGTGTAGAAATTTTTTTTCACACTTTGTAATTAAACAGTAGTGCCTTTTCTGAACTTGGCTTTCGATCAAACTTCACCTACAGTTAACGGGAAAATGAAATCACTTTTCGCACTTGTTAGAAAAGTAACTATGCTGCAGAAATCGTTGAGAATCATATGAAAACCCTTAGTAGGGAATCATGGGAAATTTGTTCCTAACTCATGCAAAAAGTTTTTTCCTGATTGCAAATTGAATTCTATTGCATCCAAGTTCTTGAAGATTGGAGAAGAAGTAGAATTTTCTTAAGTCACTGTGTCCAGTGTATGCAATTATTTATAAATAAAATAATCAATATACACCACTCTATTAATAGCATTTTACTATAAGCAATAATTGCAAAATACTTTATAATTCATTTAGAAGCTCATCCATAATCACTTAATTATGGAAATTTATTCCCATTCACCTACTCAAATAAATGTTTACCAACAACAAAACTAATATGCATGTATAGTCAAAAGGTGTTAGGCATATGTCATAATAATAATAATAATAATTGTTGCTCAAGAAGCAATAAAATGCACAGTTTTATAACAAATTCTTGCTTGCAAAATGTTCATTATCTTTAGTACTGTAATGTGTTTTTTACGTACGTGCTCACATATAAGACGTTAGATAGTTTATTGCTAGCTAATAATTAACGTTGAAGGTGACATAAGTAAGTCGTTATCGGTAATGAGATTCTCATTTACCTAATGAAAGAATCAAAATGAGAAAAATTCTCGTTTGAGTTATTTAATTAAATTTAAATCAAATCCTTAATCTTAAGACTCGAACTATGATTTTGATTCTTATTCAAACATCCAAAGCAAACAATCATTATATTACCATCACATACGGTGTCGTTGATTTATTTTAGTTGTTTGAACAGTGTGTCAATGTATTCTGCAAAACTTTCACTTTTTAATAAAGCATAATAATAATTATGGTCCATCATCTTTCAAGTAAGAGACAATTCAATTAAAATCTTATCACTTCCAACAACAAATCAATTTATTCAATACCGAGAAACAATCTACGAAATTGTATTTCCCACAAATTGTTTGTGTTCATATTTAAATGTAGAACATATGGGTTTACAAGAAATATTTGCTTGACCCCCAGAGACCTTGTTAACACTAAACAACTTCTCACTATATGTGTGGGTGATAAACAAATTGGATTTATCTGTAATATGCAATTATAAATTTCCGTAAAAGCTGTCATAATTCTATAACTCAAGTTTATTTATCGAAACTTGAAAAATAATTAGATTTTGTAATGGTAGGCATTTCGATTCCAACAGAAATTATTGTAGCCCACCTGTATGAGCCCATCATTAAACCGAAAAAAAAAAACTTTTATCGTGCAATGTGTGGTGAGAACCAAGCTGTCTGGGTACTCGTTTAATGACAACTTGCACGAGACTGAAATAATAATGTTGTGGTTCGGGTTCAATTGGAATTTTAAATGACGTGACTAAATGAATGTTCCAGTTTATTTCGTAGACATGATACTGACACTGATTTACTCCAAATTTTAACAAAGTTAGCCAGAAATTTATTGAATAATAAGTACCTATGTCCAACTACTAGATACTTTTTAAGCTAGGTAGATGAGAAATTCATAGAGTGAGCAAATAGTTTCTATATTTCAAATTGGAAAATTTCTTCCTTTTCAGATTCCAAATCGCACAAACGTGTCCCAAGGCAATCGCTAACTAAGTTCAAAAGTACTAAGTACATTCAAAAAATAGGGCTCGGACACTTTTTCATCAATCCACAGCCGTAAGCAAGATACAAAAGGCTCAAGAGTGGCTCGACCTCATGGAGATTTTTTGTGAGTAGTATTCTTAATTAAGGACCGTTAGATCACGGTAATACACATGAAGAGATAAGGCTCGTGTTCATAGTCGATGCTCAAGGTTGCGTCTTGGCTCAAGTACGACTTGACGCCATATTTGCTATTCCAAACAATACGGAACGATGCTCACAACTGTCAAAAATCGGAGCTTGAGCCAAGCACCCTTCTATGAATACCGGCCTAAAAAAAGATACTTACACCAAATCCCGTACTCCAAGTCCCGAAGGAAGGAGACCTTATTCAAAACAGGTAGAAAGTAGTTGAGGCCACCGGGACCAGATAGAATAAACCAGCACTTCTACAAGAGGCGGTGGACAACAGGCAAATCATGCGAATCATCTCTACGCCAACTGTTGACAAACTTTGCCATTAACCACACCAACTCCATAGTTAAAGCTGCTGGACTATATGCGATTGATGATAAAACATGCAGATGGATCAAATCCATGCTAAAACACAGGACTATAAACTCGACTATTGCTGTAACCTCTATAAAACTAACTGCCACAAAAGGATACCCCCAGGGCGGAGTACTTTCACCACTCTGGTGGAATCCAGTCGTCAATGAACTTCTGAGGAAACTCCACCATCAAGGCTACTTCACCCTAGGCTTGAATGACATAGTCATTGTCATTAGGAGAGGATTTACCAGGACGGCATGAAACCACATCCAGGACGCCTTAGGAATCATTGAAGAATAGTGCACAAGGGAGCAACTTTGCGTCAACCCCTCCAAAACAAAACTCATTCCTTTCACCAGAAAAAGTTATCTGGAGGACTTAATACGCCTCAGTCTATTCCAAAAAACCTTGGAGTTTGGCAGGGAAGGTAAATTTCTGGGAATCATCGTAAATATGAAGCTGACATGGAACCAACACATTCAAAAGATAACCACCAGAAGCAAGAAGACGTTGATGTCACTAAAAATAGCAATTGGGAAAACATGGGGATCAAAACCGTTAGTTCTACACTACGGTTGTAAGATATCATCAATAATAACTCTGGCCTAGAGTAAACAAAAGACAAGCAAATCTGGAGCTAGCCAAAATCCAGAGACTTGCATGTCTTCGTATCACCGATGCACAGAAAAGTTCACCGACAAGTATGGAAACGGTCCTAAACCTCCCACCAGTTGAACTTGTCGTCAAAGCGGAGGCTAGAATCGGAGCATATCGTCTCCAGTTGAATGAAAACTGGAACCCAAAACCAAATGGACATGCGGCAATCACCAGACTGATCACGAACCCGATTTCAATCATGAGAGGCGACTATATTATGATACCACAAAAATCCCTAGAAAAAACCTTCGCCATCGAGATTGTTCCAGTAGAAAATACCGTGGTAACACCTAAACAAGAAATTGTCTGGTTCACTGATGGCTTCAAAACAGAAACTGGAACCGGCACTGGAATACCTATATGGACTAACTCCCAAATTAGACATCAATCAACCTCTGGGAGAACAAGGGCGTAGATACTTTACATTTCTGGGGGGGGATGGTAAAGTCTGGGATGGCCAGGGGGGGGGGGGTGGTTTCTTAGTACTATTATTTAAGTAGTTACATAATTTTTTTAATTTATAATGCTAGTTTTAGGGCGGGTATTATAAAACTGCTTTGACAGTTAACTTGAAATTAACTTTTTGAATTACATGTAATTTCAGATGTTAACTTTAAGTTAACTCTCAAAGTAGTTTTATAATACCCGCCCTTAATCAGTTTTTTTGACAATTAACAGATGACACATCACTAAAGATCTACCCAATGAACTATAACCAAAAACTGGAATGCTAACACATAAGGACGAACGTGAAGCCTAGTGCGGCTGCTGCGGAGGGGATACCTGTTTTTGTCGCACTCATTATGTTAAATGGCGAAAATTGCTTCCAACACGTATTCCAATTGATGAAACCTGTGAAGGGAAATATGACAAAACTTTCGAAAACGTCATATGTCAGCGAGCAACAGAAAAAAACAACATTCCCCCTTGTGGCATCTGTCTTTCATGGCTTCATTTTTTTGGCATATATGGCAATGTGTGCGCATTCCAGTTTTTAGCTAGAGTTCATTGGATCTACCAGCCTTATTGGCTGAATTCGTTCGGCTTTGCACTCTACGGAGCGGAACGGTATGAGCATGGATATCGTGACGTCATAGACAGAGTGAGTTCTGAACGAGTGTACGTAAGCCGAACGCAGATCGAAGAAAAAAACAACAGAATGTTGTAAATGGCCCACTTCATGTTCTGGGAATGTACTCAGAGCTGTCAAAGATACTTTTAAAAAGTATCTAGTTACAAGATAAGTTACTTTTGGAAAAAGTATCTGAAGTTACTTTGGGTATTTAGTTACTCATTTGAAAAAGGATCTTTAATACGTATCTTAAGTTACTTTTCAAGATACTTCATAAGATACTTAAGATACTTTATTATTAGTTCCAAAGCTTTTGCTGTTCAGTTTATTTGGTCCACAGGTTTCAGATTCAATTTTAAAAACAAGAATTTTTATAGTTTAAAAATCCCAAATTCGAGAATTAGGTTTAAAATCGCAGGACATAGAAAGTTATCACAGTTACAATCACAAATCATAGTTACATTTTTATAGAATATAATGGATAAATCGTGAC